TAGCTAGCGATAGCTAGACTAAGTCGTTTACTTTAAAACGCTTAGCCGGTAAGCGATATTAGTTTACGGACTCTTTATTCCTAAGCTATATCAACACAATTATAGCTTAGGCGAACTCTATCGCTTCCTATAAATAGCGTAGTAGGTTATATACCGCTAATACTCTAGGTTCCGTTAAGGGCTCCTTAATTATCTAGATCGGGTCGATATAGTAACTATACTCTAAGAAGAAAGGACTAAACCCTATCGCGGAGCTCTCGCGAGTATTTAAGGCTAGTTATAATATACGTAGTAGGCGATCCTAGTCGTCCTAAGCGTAGTAAATAAAGACTTATAAATAGGCCTATACTTTTTAGTTTATACGCTTAGTTACTTTATCGGTTTAGGGGTAGTATACTATACTAAGCTTACGCGATATCCGGGCGAGCGTATAAAAGTGCTTTTAGAATCTACTTATCTAGGTCGAACCTCGGTTATTAATAATCGATTAAGGTATTCCGTAGAACTAAAAGTAGTAGTATAGGAATTATTCCGTATAGACTTCGGCTTTTATTATCTTTATCGCCTTTAACGTTATAGCCTTAGTTAAGCGATCTATAATAACATAAAAGTAGCGCGCTTTCTTCTCGCCGGCTAGTAATAGGTTTATTATAAAGTCTATTAATAGATCGCTATATATTTATTCTAGCACGGGAAAAGGGCGTAAAAGGCCTTATTTTACGTTCCTCTATATATATCCTTTTTTATAGATATCGTAGTTCCGGATAAATTATCGGATATCCCTATTTATCCTCGGCTAGAAAAAGCGACGCGCTATTAAGGCGATAGTGTTTTTACGTCCCGGGTATCCTCTAATTACCGAGTCGTGGATTAACTAAATAATCCTTCCTCGTAGCATTAACCCTTTAGTGGACCCGGGCACTTAAATCCGGTCACGGAATAGTAATAACCCGGTCGCGGAGATAGAATACTCGGAAATCTATAGCTTTAATTCTAATACCGACGGGAACTACTATTCTTCCATAATAACCGCGGATAAAGCTCCTTAATACTATTTATCGATTATAAACGTTTTATCCTATAATCGCTATAACTCTTAGTCCGCTTCGAAGATTATTTAGCCGTTATTTACGCTATAAACACGAGGTAGGATTATAGTATTAGGAATTAATCAGATATAATAGGATTATTCCCTTTTATCTATTATATCCTAAGGCTTATCTTACTATTAACGCGAGAGGGTATCCGCTATTATATTATCTTTTCCCTTCCAGTATTTAAGCACGAAGTCGAATTATATAAGCTCGCTAGCCTATCGGCTCTATCGCTTTATAAGCGTTTATTTCGTTATAAAGTATTTAAGGGCCTTATACTCGGATAGGATTATAAACTATCCGTAATTAATAAGCTCGGCTCGCTATACTACTAAGTAGCTTATAATTACTAGTATCTCTTTATCGTGGATTAAGTAATTATATTCCGCTTTATTAAGTTTATAGGAGTAGTATACGACCACGTAGCGATTTCCGTCGATATCTTTTTATATTAAGCTACCCCTAAGAGCGAACCCCGAATAGTCCGTTTCGATAAAGGTCTTATTTATAGGGTCCTATTACTAAAGTATTAATGCTTTTTAAAACCTCGCTTTTAGCTCCCGAAAAGCCGTTTCTTTATTAGGACCCTATTAGAAGGCGTAGTCCTTTTTCGTGAGTGCCATTAATAGTATAGAAATCCCCGAAAAGTCCTTAATAAAGATCTGGTAATAATTCGTAAATCCTAGGAAGCTTCGCACGCCTTTAACCGATATAGGCGTTTCCTACTCGCGAATAGCTTATAACTTCTCCGGGTCGTATAATATACCCTTTCCTATAGTAACTATAAATCCTAGGTACTTTACTATCTTTAAGCTAAACTCGTACTTTAACGGGTTTAAGTTTAGGCCGGTATCCGCGAGCGCGCGGAGTACCTACTTAACTTTTACTTCGTGGTCGGCCCGGCTCCTACTAAAGTAGACTAGGATATCGTTAATATAAGCAGTAATAAAGTCGTTTAGGAAGCGTTATAGTATTTTATTAATATATCGCTAAAAGGTCGCTAAAGCTTTACTTAAGCTAAACGGGTAGATAAGCCACTTAAAAAGCCTAAACCGCGTTCGGAATATAGTCTTATACTTATACCCGGGAGCTATCCTAATCTTATAGAAGGTAGCGATTATATTAAGCTTCGTAAACTATTTCGCCTACCTTAAGTTCTATAGCGTTTTAGCGATTAAAGGGAATAGGTAATAGTCTTACTTAGTAATCGTATTTAGCGCTTAGTAGTCGTAATAGAATTAGAGTCCTTTACCTAGTTTCTTTATAAAGAGGATAGGAGCCGTGGCTTTTAAACTACTAACTCAGATAAATCCTTTATCTATTAGGTCGGTAAGTGTTTTTCGTAATACTAAAAGTTCTTCCCTCGATATATTATAAAACGGCCCCTAAAGGAGCGATAGCTTTTTACTATCGCTATTAAGTATAAGGTTAACTTTATAATCGACTCTTAGTTAGTATAGCGGTAATTAGTTTACTTTATCGGGCGCGAATAGGTCGTTAAACTCTCGTAATAGCTTTTCGGGTATAAAGTCCTTTAGGTTAATTAGTTATTTCTTATTTAACGCTTTTTCGATATCCTTTAAGCTTACTTCTTAGATTAAGGCTTCCTCGCCCTTCTATTATAATCGTCGGATAAGGCCCGCGAATATAGATCTAGTAATTAAATAGGTACCACGGATAGCTTATACTCCGGCCGGTTCCTTTTTATAGTAAACTTATATTTTTAGTCTAGCTACTCCGTAGTAGAGTCTTTTATTCTTAGCGTAGTATATTACGTTATTCTATTCTATCTAAGGCTTCCTAAGGAATACGTCTTAATTAAGCCCGGGTACTATATATATAAATAGTCTTTACGAGTAGCCGCCGATCTTAAGCTTATAGATAACGATTCCCGCGTTATTAATAGTTCCGGTAGCTTCCGAGAAGCTATTTAGTAGTCGATTCGTCTTATCGATTAACGCTAATTAGAGTCTTTAGGTAAACCGTTTACTTATAGCGGTATAGTAGTCGTAATTAGTATTAATAAGGGCGAGGATATATTATTTATTTACTTTAGCTATAATAAGTATAGGGTTATTACTAGTACGCACTTTAAACGTTCCTTACTCCCGCTGTATCACGGCTGTTAGCTTTAACACCTATTTTTACGTTAAAGCTATTCTTTTTCCGAGTCGTTATCGTTAGTCGACTTATTATCGCTTTTATTATAATCCTTCGTGCGAGACTCTTTAACCTTTCGAATTATTGTTTAGTTTTCTTTTAGTTTCTTATAATTCCGTGCGATATACCCTTTCTTATTATAGTTATAGCACTTTAAGTCTCCTACTTCGCCTTCCTATCGCTAACACGGTTTATTCTACTTATCTTCGTGTTATTATCGGCGTCTTTTTTCGTAGTCGTGTACTCTTAAACTCGTTTATCGCAATTCCGCTTAAGCTAGTAACTCTTAAGCTTCCCGGCGATCTCTTATATACCGTTAACGTATACGATATAGTTATTAGTAGGAATACGGGCCGAAATAAGCTTATCTCTAAGTTAAGAGGTAATCGCTCCTTTAAGGAATAAGATCTATACGGTAGTTTCCTACTAGTTACCGCCCGTGAGGGCGATTTATCTTTCTAAACGGGGTAAGAAGGCAGTAAACGACTTATCGGACCGTTATCGAATCGTGCGTAGGGCTTAAGCGGCTCGCGACTATTCCGTAAGGTTAAGGTAGGTATAATTAAGATACGCTATAAAGTCGTTAGGGTTTATAAGCTTACCCGGCCTATCGCTCTTATAAAAGGCTAATACTACTTATTATACCTTGGGTCCTAGGTAATTACAGATAGTATACTAAGCTTATATATTATTCTAGAATAGGTTATTATTAATTATAAGCTTTTACCGTATCGCGTAGGCCTACGCGCTATAATATACTTTTTTTCCTAAAAACTTGACCGGGCTATTAACGGTTTTACGGGGTATTACTATTATTATTATCGGCTAAAACGCCGGTAAGGGGACCGGAGATAGCGTGGATTCTATTAGCGTAAGAATTATCGGGGTCTATAAGGGGGCTAGAATATTCAGGTTTAGCGGTATTAGGTTTTACGGAGTAGGCGATCCTAGAAGCCGGGCTACGAGCTATTCGATTAATAGGCGTTATCGCTTATCGGCTTCTTCCCTCATGCGTTATCGTTTAATAAACTAGCATATCTCCGAGTAGTATTCTTATATCGGGGTAAGCCTAGCGTTAATATCGGCGTATTACTCGTAAAAAGGGCCTAGCCTTATATTTAAGACTTAGTCGTTTTCTTCGAAATATCGGCTTATCTACTCCGCGACCTATTTAATTCTAATAGGTCGCTAAGCAGTAGTATTCGGATCTTAGTCTATCGCTAGCGTAGCGTGTAGGTATCGCTAAGTTCTAGATATATTAACGACTAATTACAGGTTATAGTATAAGTAAGGTCGTAATAATAGATTATCTAGAACTAAGGAAGGAAGAAGAAAAAAGAGAAAAGTCTATAGCGCTAGGCTAGCTATAAGGTAGCGATGGCTAGACGATATAGGTCCGTTAACTAAGCGCGTAGCTAGGAAGATCTGGAGTATAGCCGGATCCTCTATATCAGGGCTAACCCGTAACAATACAGCAGAAATCTTATATATATATATTATATTAAGTTATATCTATATAAGTCTCTTATACCCTTAATTTAGTTAGTAAAGACTCTGTTATAGGTACTATATATTTAGATCCTATCCGGTCTTTTCCGGTATCCTCCCTTATTATATCCTGATACCCAAGGTCCCCGAGGTCCGAATCCCTTAGTCAGGCATAGATCCCTTAGGGACCATGACGTGGTCCGTGTTCCTATACGACATTATCCCGAAATTTTTGCTGACCCACTGTACACACATCACTGCAATTCTGCAGAGTCAATCAATTCAACTATTCAACCCCTTAACTTTGATCCTGTTTTCGACTGTTTGTGGTTACGCTGTATCTAAAACAAAGAAGCTCTTTTCTTTCTTATTCCTCAACAACCAGGACGCACACGCTCACCTTGGGTCCTTCGTCTTTCTCCGCCCAGCATGACGCAGCCATTGGAGCTTGCTAAAAGTCTTGTTCGCTCTGTTGTTCGTGCGCTATATGACATACCAAATGTCCTGATTATAGATGCCTTGGTTATACATTCGGCGTAAGCAGTCAACTCCTATTCCCACTAAGCTCCTCTAATTAGGATATCCTAGGCTAAAGGACGAAGACTTGAGATTTATGCTGGGTATGAACACCAAAGAGGTGCACAGGCTTTGTGGCAAGCTAAGAGAAGATCGCTTCCTTGGGTCGTAAGTTGACCGATAGACTAAGCGCCAGTTACTATCTCTCTGACTCCTTTTTTGGTAGATATACTCGGCATGAGCAGTCAAATAACCCAGAGCAGAAGCGCCTTATAAACAAGCAATACTATTACATCGATTACCGCCAAGCCATCGATGCTATTAAGTGGCGTGTATACACGGCGGACAAAGACGTGCAAGGAACCAATGTTCCAGCCAGCGAGCGGAAAGAATACTTCTGCAGTCGCTGCAAGGCTGAGTGGACGCAAATGGAGGTCCTGGACAAAGTCAGCGCCCAGGGATTCTTGTGCCACAACTGCGATTACCCTCTTATGCATGACCCAGAGAGGTATTCCACTGGTCACCAGGAATCCACCCGGCTCAATGAACAATTCAAATTCATCACAGAAATGCTACCACGAATAGACGATGTTATCATTCCCGATAATACCTTCGATATTGCCATCAGCGCCTATAAGCCATTGGCTCCGGAGGTGAACCATGGACCGGGTTCCACCTCGTTCTCTATCCTCCAGCCCATGGCGGTCAAGGGCTTGGATAATTTGGGGCCGAAATACCTTTCAGTCAATATTTCGACTTCGAATGGCCCTTCCGATGCTGATAAGGCCGCAGACCAGGCCCGGAGAGACAAGATTGCTCAACAGAATGCCTTGCCGTCTTGGATGTCAAATAGTACAATCACAGGAGAGTCTTTCTCTGCGAACCAAGGTACTCCAGTTCCAGTATCCAGATCTGACGAACACGACACTGGGAAACCAACTGCCAAAACCTCGAAAGAACATGACGACACAGAATTGGCCAGGATGTTCGCTGCAATCAAAGCACAGCAGGAGGCAGACGCTGCGCGTGCACTGGCCGGAAATGAGAGCGAAGAAGAGGAGGATGAGGAAGACGATAATCACTTTGAGGATGTTGTGACCGCGGGAACCCAGCTGGGCGGTGTTATGTCGAGAGACTCAGCCCAACATTCCTTAAAGAGAATGACTTCAGTGCAAGGGGAGACCTCCGAGGAAAGAGGGGGTAAGAAACTCAAGACGGGAGATCCAGATCTCATTCAACTAGCAGATGAAGACGAAAGTGAGGGGGAAGTTGAGTTCGAGGACGTCTCTTAGCTGGTGTCAAATGCCCACAGCCACCTTATCGAGGCGGTGACAAACCACATTATGTCAGACGTATAGAGCACCTCATTCCTATATATCCACACTCATTTGCCCGAGGTTTTCCCTATAGTTAGACATTCCCACAGAGTATCTTTTACTCTGCTTTAACATATATATATATCTTTTTATATACCTTATTTATATACTGATAGTTATAAGCCCGGCGTTCTAATAAACGAAGTTATTCCGATAGATCGTATAGCTTTAAGGCCGAGAATTACCTTAAAGTCTATAGCGGGTAGTTTAGTATTATTAGCTACGTCCGCCTGCTTTATTTAATCGTTTTTCCGCTTTTTAATCGCTCCTTTAATTATTCCTTCGGTCGTTTAATTAATTCTTTAATCGCCCCGTTAATCGTTCCGTCCACTTATTTCCCTATACTCCTAGTTAGTTAGACGATAGCTTTAGGTACGGCTATGCCTATAATATGCTATACGGTCCTTACCTTACTAAAAGACTAGTATCCATGGCTCTAGGCTATTATATAGATAGCCTATACCCACGGAACCGCCGACGTTATCGATTAAGACCTCGAGGAATCTAAACGACCTTAATGCCACAAATTGATGGAGCCTCTAAAGCTAACCGATAACGTAGGCTTTACGTAGGATCGTTAATTCAAGATATAGCAGGTTAAAGAGGATCGCCATTGTTAATAGTGGCGCGGCCTTACTCTTATTTACGACTATATCTTAAAGACTATAGACCCCTCCCTTAGGGATTAGTACGTAGATTAAAAAGAGGTTAAGGATATCCTACTTACTTTAAAGAACTATCTTAAACCTACTAACGCTGCCTAGAAGTCACTGATTAAACGATAATAAGAAGAATATATATAAAACGTGCGGCGGATACCTTATAAGTATTGGCTTTAGTACTTTATAAAGCTATACCGAGATTCGGTAATATATAGCGTTAGAGCCCTTAATAGTAAAGAGGACTAGCTTAATACGTTTTTTAGGACTATCGGTATTATAGCTCCCGAGTAGTTAGAGGCGCGGTGTACAGAGATTATAAGGCTTAAGGAGGACTAGTAACCTACGATTAACGCTATTATAAACGAATGTACAGTTTAGCTATGGTATAAGCACTTCTATAGGCTTAATAAAAAGCCTATCGCGTTATCGTTTTATACGGCGACCTTCCTAGGAAAAGATAAAATGGGTAAGTAATAGCTAGTAAATTAGGGCGATTAACAGAAAAAGGGAAAAGAGAATTTATTAATACCACGGGAATAGATCTATAACTATATTAAGATAGAAAGATATAAACGCTACTACGCCCTATAGAGTAGCTACCTAAATATTAATCCGACACGCTTTTAAAATGGCTTTACGCTCTTAAAGGAGGTAGTAGAACGCTGCGACCGCGTTATTAAGACCTAGAGTGCTACCTAGTAAAAGAAGTTTAGAGAGGATATTAAAAAGAATATCGATAAGGCGAAAAAGAAAGTAAAAAAGGTAAAAGCTAAGTTATAAGAGAAATATTAGTCTAAGAAAGTATCTAATTTCGTTAATAATCAAGAAGAGGGTTCTAATAATAGCTCTTACGATATATATTTTGCCTCTAATTTTGTGGGAGAAGAGGTGGCTTTAAATACCTCTTTAATTAGATCTTCGTCGATTTACTTACTCATATAGACTAAATAAGTGGGTAGCAGTGATCTTTTCAGTTAGTTTCTAATCGATTCGGGGTCTCCACGGTATATAAGTAATCAACGCCACCTACTCGAGGACTTCTAGCCTGCTACTAGTATTATCAGATTTTAGATAGGTAGTGGCGCCTCCAATCTAGGAGAGGGATACGGTACGCTATATCTCGAGGTTATAGATATAAAAGGTCGTCCTTATACCCTTATGCTAAAGAACGTGGTACTTATGAATAGATACCTTACAATATTACTAGCTATATATAGGTTATAGAAGGATAAGAAGGCTATTGTTATAATAGACAGAGATATCTTAGTAATAGACCGATAAACCTGCCTACTATTAACTAAGATAAACGGCTAATATACCCTTAAGCTAACTAAGGGCACGCTATAGTGCTTATAGCAGTAATAGCAAAGCTATTTTCATAGCACGAGAGATCTAAAGACTACTAGCATGGCTAACGCCCGCTTCTAGCATGAAAGACTAGGGTATACGAACTTGTAGTCGCTAGCGTAGCTAAATAAGAGATATATTAGCGGAGTGGTATCCGGAAAAGGACCTCTAGTAGTTAACTGCAAAGCTTACGCTATTAGTAAGACAAAAAGAATAGTATCGCGATAACTACCTACCTATAAGCTAATAAGGCCTTTTTAGAGGATTAACGTGGATTTGTTTTTTATAGATCCTGCCGCTAACGTCGATTATACTATTACTCTATTCCACGATCACTACACGTATAGAAATATTACTAGAACGATACCAGGGTATAAAAGTATACTATCTACAATAGCTAATTTCGAACTCTTTTTATAGACGTAGTATAAGTTACATATTGCTATAATCAGACTCGATAATAAGAGGGCGCTATAAAAGAAGCTAGATACTTAGTCTTTGGATTATAGTATCCTATTAAAGAGATCTTCGCTATACACGCCGTAGTAGAACCCTCGGGCCGAACGGTTTAAGGGTATTATCTTCGCTATCACGAGGGTATTAGTAGAGATATTAGGCTTCTAGTAGGATTTATAGCTAGAGATTATTATAGTAGCTATATACCTGTATAACCGGATTCTACGCAGGGATCTAGATTAGTAAACCCCCGAGGGAGCGTTAAACGCGTGGCTATAACAAGAGAGTATTACTAGCCTTATAGCTAGAACCACTAATCCCTTAACTAGCTACCTAAAGAGGTATAGGTATAAGGCGTACGAGTTAACTGCTGCCTATCTGCGAGGTTATCGTAAGAACGAGAAGCTAGTGCTAAGAGCATATATCGGTTATTTAATAGACTATAAAAGCACTCATACTTTTCGGATTTTAATTGCTTAATGAGGGGATAGAATCCTGCGAACGAGGGACGTTATTGTCGACGAGTTAGTCCTTTATAAAAACAGAGAGAAGGAGCCTAACGTGCCTATTGCTATGGAGCTATTTAAAAAGCTTAATCTGCTGTTGGCATAAAGCGTTCACGATTCTTTTAGTGTTATAACGAATATCGTCGATTTCGGTACACCTGTGGTGCCGGAACAGAACTCCATAATAGAGGCTTTGTAAGAGGAAAGGCAACGTTAACAACAGCGTTAACAATAACAACCTTAATCGTCGAGATCTAGGGGGGTGGTGGCCGGCGGTAGTGGTGTAGAATGAAAAACCACCACTAACGCAAAAACTACCAAAAACGCCTCCGAAAGCTAACAGCCTGCTAACTAAGAGGCATTACGTGGAACGGCTACTATGGCCGCGGCGGGCACTATTATGCCTGCCGTTGATTTTCTCTCTTTAACTGCTATTTTACCCTCCTCTTTAATAATGGCATTAATTTTGCCCTTTTTAATAACCTCCCCTTCAAAAATAACGCCCGTTTTTACACCTCTATCGCCGCTATAAGCACCTATAGATACTAGAGATACCTTTACTAAGGCTATGGGTGAGGCCACCGAAGATACCTCCACAGATAATGCCGTTGGGATAGGATTATTATCTCCTAACCAATCGGTTCTCAAAGAGAAATTAACCACTACCACTATTTCTTAATCCACTATTCTATAAGCAGCTAAGTCTAATCCCACTACTACTACTACTACTATTTCTGCTTTATCGTTAACCCTAACGCCTCCCTTTATAAGGAGACCTATATAGAACCGTTAACCTCCCTCTAAATACGACGATTACGTCTCCTACTATAATAATACCTTTAAGATACCGAAAAGGCCCCTACTACGTCGCGAGATACCTAAAAAACCTGCTAATTATTCGTAGATGCTTAAGAGCCCTAATAAACTGGAATGAATTCGTGTAGCGGGATAAGAAGTAGGAATACTCGGGTTAATAGGCACCTTTAACGCAGCTAAAGTGCTCGATACTAGTAATTAACGTGCCCTTAATCTGAAATAGGTTTTTAAATATAAGGTCGATCTCTTAGCATACGTTAATAATTTCAAGGCATGCCTATACGTTTATAGGGATTAATAGCCCTAAAACCACCTTAACGCCGACGTCTCCACCCTTACTAGAAGGACCTTTAGGTCGTTAATAGCTATTACAGCCTATTTTAACCTAGAGACCCGTTAGATTAATACTATTAACGCGTTTAGTAACGCCACCCTTAACGAGGAAATCTCCGTTAAGAATCCACCTGGGTAGTCGTTACTTTAAGTAGTAAAGGGCACTAAGAGCGATAAGGAGCTCGAGGCTCTTTTAAAGCTATTATAAAGGGCACCTAGAAGAGGAACGTAACGCCTACGCAGGGCGTTATATATCAAATAAAGCGTAGTCAACATCGTCATAAAAACGGTCAAAATTAACTAAGTCAGTTATATATATTATAACTATATCCGACCGTCAGAGAATTCCTGCTACCGTAATATTAGTGGTGAAGAATCTGCAGGTGTCCACCCGGATTATAATCTTAGTAATCCTGTCTATTACGTAATTAAGAAGACGGTGGTCTATTTGCCACACCCCCTAATCGCCCTAAACGTTAGTTAGGCGATCAAAGCTATTCGCAATAAGTAGATAATCCAGTTATATAATCTATTCGCTATAGCCGCCCTTAAATTCATCCTCTAGGGCCTCTAAATATTCTATCCGGACTTTCTTTAGCTATTTCTGCTATAACCGTTCCCGTATATCTTTCACGCCTACCTAGGATCTAAATATCTTGAATTTCTCGCCGTATAACGCCTAGTGGCCATGGATATCGACGTGGCGAAGGCGCGTGGTTAACGTGCTAATCTCTTAATTAACTAATCGAATCGTTTAGTTATTATCGCATAGGATCCTTAATTTCGGATTATTAAATTCCAGTCCTATACTAAGTAATAGGCGTTATATAAAGATACCGTCTTTTACATCGTATACTAATGCTAATAGCTCCGCTTCCGTTATTAACGTTATAACCGTATCATGCTTATTAGCATGCTACGCGATTATACCGCTAAATAAGCATATTACGTACGCCTAACTACTCTTTCGATTAAGGGTATTATCGGTAAATAAGGCGTT